CAAAAGGTACAGAGGAAATGTATCCATGAACCCTTAAGTCATATAAAACTAATTTGTGAGAAATCAAATCTAAGAAAACCAGAGGGAGAGGAACCATTGTTTTATGTTATACATAATGCCAGGATAACCAGGTGTCAGTGAGTTAGTTAGCGCTGGTCCCAGGTTCCCCAGTGACTGAGGAGACCAAAGCCCACAAGACTGAGGGCCCTCCCCTGGAAGGCCACGCTAGGAGATCCGAGGACAGAAGGGCAGCGCCCACCCGTGGCCACCCCAGGTCCCCTGTGGGCATCTCCAGGCCCCCCTTCCTGCTCAGGACACGGCTTTGCCCATAGCCTCAAGGTGACCATGGACAAGGCGGGGCTCCTGTTGCTCAGCAGACCAGACAGGGTGACCATCGGCTTGCTGTTCTGGGACGGCCCCGGAAAGGGGCTCCGGCTTCTCCTGCAGGACACTGACCGCTTCTCCAGCCACGTCAACGGGACCCTTGGTACGTGGCCCCGGCTTGGGGCACCCTCAGAAGCCACCTCTCCCTGTGAACAGCAAGTGCCCTCTCCTCGACGTGTTCCCCAGCCTCCCTCTGTCTTTTTTCTTCTCTGACCCACCCTTTGTATCTCAGGCCAGTTTTACCAGGATGTGCTCTGGGGGCCCCTGGACACGGCAGATGACAGCAAGCGAACACTGAAGGTCCAGGGGCGTGACTACTCTGCCACCAGGTGACTCAGGACAACTCTCCACTGAGCCCAGCCATGGGTGGGGGCTGGGAGCTAGGCTCTGGGACCCCCACCCCTCTGTCCCTACCTGGGAACCAGACAGTCAGGTGTCAGGTCAGACTCAGACCTGACCTCTCTGACTGACCCAGCTTTCAGTCACCCCACAAAGGATGGTCAACTCAGACCCACAGGAAACACATTAGCCCATAGATCACTGGGAAACTCTCCCTGAATTCCTGGACCCTAGGGACCACACATCACTGGGTCCCCTTGGGTGACTGTGCTGGAGGGAAGTCTCAGAGACCCCAAGACCCTCCACCTTCCACATTGCTATCCCCAGCTGTCTCCCTCTCTTCCTGCCACACCTGACACATGCTGACCACCTGTCTGTCTGTCCATCCCAGAGAGCTCAAGCTGGATTACCAAGAGAGGCCCCCAGGCAAAGAGATTTCCTGCTGGTCTGTGGAGCTGTAGTTCTGGAAAGAGCTACACCCACCACCCCCTGCCGTCACGCTGTGTGCAGATGGCTGCCACCCAGGGACCACAGGGCCACTCTGGGTCCTGGAATATCATAGGGAGAGGTATTTGCGCTCATTAAAATAAAGAGAGATGGTGTGAGCCCAGGGAGTGAGCATCTCTGGTTTCATCTGGCCAAATCCCCAAGCCTCAAGGTCACGTCCTGGACATGTAGCGCTGTGTACCATTAGAATCATCCACTGTCAGCCACTCAAAGGCCTGTGGCCAGTAAGGCCCACAGAAAGCGTGCAGTCCTATCCCTTCACTTTACCGTCAGGGAAACTATGATATAGAGTGACTGGAACCGTTAAAATGTTGCTCTTGCTGGGGCCCTGGAGCCAGAGAACACTCTGGGGAACAGGGTTCATTCTGCTTTATGGTGACACAGGGTCCATGAAAAGAATAAAAGGGTGACCTGGGTAGAAGTTTGTTACAGGCCAACTACCAACATTCTCAGCCAACTGTGGGGCCCTTTTGCAGTAGGATTTGCAGGATACAATTTGATTTTCACACCTGTGCTCAGAAACAGGCCTATCTTCTCATTGCCTTGGCAGAGAAGCTGGCAGTGAAAGACAAGGGAAACAGAGATGAGGCCCTAGTCCCAGGACGTAAGCAACGGTCTATTCCCAGGAGCCTGGGTCGTTGAGGGGCTTCTGTCCAGGCCTAGGGTTAGGCACCCCAAACATCCCACCCAGTTCCTGCACAGGCAAGGCATACTTTCAAAAAACATCTATAATTATTTCACCTATTTCTTCAAAAATGACACAAGTATTTGGCTTACAAATAAAAGGTATATAAAGAGAATAAAACAGAAAAATATATATATATGAGAAGGAAAAGGAGAGAAGAGCCAAGAGGAGGAGAATTGAATCACAGACACCAGGGTAGGGGAAGCTGCAGCAGCAGCAATCTTCGCTTTGAGCTTTCTGGCAGCCAGGGCGAAGCAGAGAATGAGTTCATTTTAACTTGCTAAGAGGGAGCAAACCAGATAAGGAAAACATTCTCTTCCCAGCTCTTGAGTTATACAGGGTGTTTTCTGAGTGTCTTTATAGGAGGGTAGAGGAGAGGCTGGTGGGAGGAAGGGGTTTCCAGCAGCAGGTTTTCCAACACTCAGGGACACTTTCCTGCATGGCTGCCTCCCCATCAGGCCTGGTGGCCAGCAGGGGCCTCGGACTGAGACACTTTGTGAAGATCACTCTCAGAGGCTCAGAGATGAGCTCAGCGAGATCAGGGGGCAGCATCAGGGGCTCGATTGGACTCGCTGTGGGCTTGCTCTGACGTACCAGGACAAAACACCGGCCCCTGGGCTGGGCTGTGAATTGGTGCCCCTGCAGAGGGGTCCTGGGTGACTCTCTGGCCCAGCCAGCACCTGACGGCCATGCATTGTGAACCACTGGAAGCAGGTCCATGCCCGTCTTTGTTTTGTTCACCGCGTGCTGTCCAGCACCTACTTGGGCCAAGCCCTGGCAGAGTGCTGCAGGTACATTGGGCACCGGACAGAGCTGCCACCCAGAGAATAAGCGGGTGCCACAAGGAGCCAGAGGGAGACAACTTGCCCAACCTGAGGAATAGCAGGGAAGGCTTCCTGGGAGTGGCGTGGGTGGGACTGGGTTGGGATTGAGTTTTAAAGAAATAAAAGAAGTTGGCCCAGTGGAAAAGGTGGGCAAGGACGCTAGGCCTAGAGCCAGGACACTGCACTGAGTTCAGCAAGATGAAGGGAAGCCATGTTGTGGGGTGAGGTGGAAGGGGATGCTGGCAAGATAGGGAATGGCCCCAGGCCAGTGCTGGCTGCACACACCTTGCCATGGAGTTCTGCTGCTATCCTGAAAGTTCCAGGAGCCATCAAAGGCCATAGGCAGGGACAGGCCCAGCCAGGATGATGTGGGACTGGGGAAAAAACAGAGTCTGCCTAGTCTTGGCCTCTGTGGAGAGACCCCCTGACTATGTGTTAGAAGAGGGGGCAGAATTCAGGCAGGGGAGTTCTTCCTGCATTTCTTCCAACCCCCTGGACTTGTTCATCCGTGGGAGCAGCAGGACAAAGATAGGCGTCTCAGGAGGACCAGAAGCCACCATTCTGATGCCTCTTTCCACGCTCCATTGGCAGGATCCTTCTTCCCATTTCACAGATGTGAATACTGACCTCAAAATAACTGGTTTAAAGCTGCATGGCTTCTCAGCCAATTTGGGACTGAAAGGGTGGTAGGGTCTGCGCACTTCAGGGTGTCCCATTCCAGGCCTGGGCCCTTTCTGCCAGCCCAGGCCTCTGCTACATTCAGTCTGGAGCTGTGTCTCATGTCACCCTCTCACCAGAGCAGTGACAGTGCCTGGGGGGCTCCTCTGAGGATAGATATTTCCCCCTGTGTTGCCCTTCCCAATGCCCACTCCAAGCCCCCAGGCCCAGGTGGGCCCTGGGCAGCTGTGTTCCGGCTCAGACAGAAGGGCCCCTGGAGTGGGAGGCAGCCAAACTTCCTGGTCACCCACAGCCAGACCCCACCCCAGCCAGCCCCGCTGGCATTAGAGACCCTTCCCAACCTGACTGCAACCTCCTCCAGTCTTACTGCGTCCCCTGCTTGGCCGAACCTCTTCCTTCAGCGGGGTACCCTCCACCCTGCATGCCCTCCACCCCTCAGGCAGCGAGAACAGCAGGAGCTGAGGGTCTGGGGAAGGAGGAATTATGTTTGCAGAACTGAAAGCAGTCTGTGTGTCTCGAATACAGACTGAAAGGAAACCCCTGGTGTGCAGGGCTGATGAAGCTGGAGGGACGACAGGGAGGATCTTTGTCTTTATCCCAAGAATCCTGGGTGGGAGACATCATTTATAGGGTTTCAGACAGCAAGTGATGACCAGTCCTGCTCTGTAAAAAAAGCTCTCTCTGGGAGCAGGAAGGCCAGAGAGAGAAGGGTGCTGTTGCTCAGGTGGGAGAGGCTTGCCCAGGCTGACAGCCCACAGAGCTGCTTCTCTAGGAAGCTCTGTCTGACCCCCACTCCACCCAGGACTTACAGGGTGCAGCAGTAGGTGGTCACCATAAGGAGTGATTGGAGGATCTCAGGGATCCCAGTGAAGCTGAAGACAAACTGGAGCACCCTTGTAAACAGGATCTGAGTTACTAAGCTGTGTGCCCCCAGATCCTAGCCCGGAATGTTGGGTTTAGCTGCTGAATGGATGGGTTGTGGAGGGGTGGGCAGGTGGATGAGCCAGTGGATGGATGGTGAGATGATCAGAGAGTGGAGAGATGGATGGCGCAATTAGTGGCACGCTGAATCTACCTTGGAGCATCTCTGCTCCTGTATCATAGAACGAGTTTCATCCCTGATAAGAGCTCCTGAGCCAGGGACACTTGACTTTTGCTCCATCCTTCCTAAACTCTGAAAGGCAGTCAGTCCTTCCCGACTTCTCAGAGGCCCTTTGTTCCGGAATCGATTATATTTTTCCTTCCCCCACTGTCCTGTGTTTTACTCCTCTAGTAACCACCCCCCAACCAGCCACATTGATGGAGAGGCCCAGGAAGTTGCCTTCNCTTGACTTTTGCTCCATCCTTCCTAAACTCTGAAAGGCAGTCAGTCCTTCCCGACTTCTCAGAGGCCCTTTGTTCCGGAATCGATTATATTTTTCCTTCCCCCACTGTCCTGTGTTTTACTCCTCTAGTAACCACCCCCCAACCAGCCACATTGATGGAGAGGCCCAGGAAGTTGCCTTCCAGGCAGCCAACCCTTCCTTCGAGCTGCCTGTTCCCTGGAGCAGGGGCTGATGGAGGCAGGCAGAGGCTGCAGGCAGTCCAGTTCCTCCTTGGCCTTTATTGTCACAGCCTTTCATCGGGCCCCACTCTGTGCCTCTGTTCCAGATGCCAGGCAGGCCGGGCCGGCCATCTCAGCAGGAGTTGGCATGTCAACTCAGAACAGGTTGGGGACAATGTAGTCTCTGTGAATGCCGTCGATCAGCCCTTGCCCATTGTTGTGGACGAACCAGCAGGCAACATTCCTGCCAACGTTGATGTCCTTCCTGTAGTCCTTCTGGGAGCCCCTGAAAGAAAAGAGATAAAGGCTGTGATGTGTGGGGTGGGCAAGACGGCTGCATTCATGGATCTAAAGTTGAAAGTGGGTGTGAAGTTGCCAATTCTAGGAGTTCAGACTCTGGTCAAGAATGAGGTCATGTGGTTACTCCTTCTAGGGGGCCAGATTTGGCTTTTTCCTGATTAGAGGGAGCCAAGAGCCCAGAGGGAAACAAGGGTATCCCACAGAAGACAAGAGCCAGCCAGGCTGATGTGCATCGGTAGAGAGAGCACTTCCCTCCTATCTCGTACCCGACAGTCTGAGGACATCAGCAGGGTCCCCTCACCTGGTGACTGTCAGTTGATGGTTCTTCACCACCATTGTGGCATCTGGCTTTGTGGGGTCAGAGCCTGGGTGGACATCAGACACTTGAAAGTCAAAGGGGTGGAAGAATTGTCCTAGGAATAAAAACATTCACACTGTCAACCCTACCTCTGCCATACGTGACAAGGCCACTGGCCTTCCAGGATTGATAGAAAGGCTGGGTGGGGTGTTGAGTGGTGGGTCCAGGGTGACTAGGAGGCCCTTTCAACGTGGCTTTTTCCCTCCACCATGTGGCCTGAACAGCCTGAAGCTTGAACATTTCATACCCAGCAGCCCATGTGTCTGTGCTGACATCCCACGACTGTCCACCACGTAGAAGCCAAGGAAGTCATGGTGGGCAGGCTCTTTCTTCCACACCTGATGCAGGACAACCACAAAAGTAACCCCATCTCCAAAGGAGACCACCATGTTCTTCTTCCTGTTGATCATTACAGATAGCCTAGAAGAGAAGAAAAGGTAAGCAGTGGGGCCCAGTGGCCATGATAACCAGGCATCTGAATCAAGGGCAGAGCAGGAAACGTGACATCTGAGAGCACACGGACCCCAGAAACTGTCAGGGGTGCTGGAGAGGAGAGGCTTATGCACATTGACTGCACCCTGCACTGAGTGGGTCCCTCCTACTCCATCGGCAGACGAGGGGCTGTCCTGGGGGTCTGAAGACCCAGGATCAAGCCCCAGCTAGGCCACTGGGCTTCTTGTGTGACATTGGGTAGGTTCTGCCCCTCTCTGAACCTCCATGGGACTAACACTGTAGCCCTGCCCACCCAGCTTGGGGGTGCTCTGAAGATGCAGGAGAGGCAGAGGAGTGAGAACAAGAGAGCTCAGCCAGAGATGATGCACACAGGGATCTTTGTCATCGTCAGCCTGCCAGGTTCACCTAATGCTTTTGTCCACACAGCCCTTCCCTCAAGTTGTCCTATGAACTGTCTAGCCACCTATCTGTCTGCCTTTGGTGGGGAGCCCAGGGGGTGGGCTGGGGGCCACCATGTTGAACCTTTCCCAGAGCGGGGGCTGAGGCCACTGGTCTTTCCTGTTAGCCCTGTGGATCTTTTGGGATTTGTTCAAATTCCCCCAAGACCCTCGCACTCCATCACCCCTCAGAGACCCAGCAGCAGGGCTTTACCCATCCTGTGTGATCATGACCATGTCCAGCCAGCTGAACGTGCTCGGTGCATCCCCATTCCACAGGGTAATCTTCTCCGGTGTCACCTCAATCCGTAAGTCCATCCGAGCACTGGCAATGCCCAGTTTGCCAAAGTAAGTCCTTCTGGCCTGGGAGTCTGAGCTGCCTGTCTTCTCACCAATGATCTGCCCGTTAACTGTGAGGCCTGCCAGATGGGCGGGGCAGCGAGAGACCAGCAAGACCTAAGTCCAGACTGGTCTTCTCGGCTCACAGCTTCCCCTTTAGTCAGACCTCCCGAGCGATAACACAGTGGGGGATGCAGGTCTCTCAGTTGAGAGACCAGGATTTGAGAGCTAGCCCTATCTGTTCCTAGACATGTTGGGGTCACACTGGTGGCCGAGGGCCCACATTGTGGATCTGCCCCTTGCCTGGGCCAGGGAGTGGTGTTCAGAGAAACACTATTCCTCAGGCCCAGGGTGAGTCCTGCCCATAGGCCCAAGCAGCCCTTAACTCTAACCGTCTCCCCATTACCCCTGGCCCTGGGGAGATGAGGTGAACCTGTGGCTCTGGATGGAATCTGAAACCCCTGCAGGATGGAATCTACCTTTGAAGGTGGGTGCATTTGGGGCAGAGTGGGCCTGGTCCATCAGTCCACCCTGGGGGCTCCAGGCCTTCCCAGGAAGAGCCCCTGGCCCCAGTCCCTGGCCCCCACCTGTGACAGGGTCCTGAATGAGGCGCAGCACTGTGCCTGGGGCTTCATCAATATTGAAGCAGATGGCATCGTCCTTCTCGGGAACTTGGATGATGAAGTGGGGGTCCCCATCCACTGAGAACACGCAGAGAAGAGGCTGGCTCTCGGGATCGCTCACGGTCCCAGGGACCTCCCCTTGCCTCCCAGTCCCGTGGGATGGGCTGCTAGACAGACAGGAGGTGCTCAGCCCTAGGCCTAGAGCCTCGACCTGGGGGAGCTGGGAAACTCACCGTAGTAGTAGGGTGTCTTGGGAACCTGGTAGCTGGCTGTGGACGAAAGAAAGAGAGGGCTGAGCTAAACAAACAGGCCAGGGGAGGCACCAAGACCCCCACCCAGAGTTTGGTTCATGCCCCTCACCTTCAGGCTCCCTAATGCTCGTAACCTCCCCCCGTCTCCTGAGGAACCCCCCAACCATCTGCCTGTTCCAGAGAGCTGATTCAGGGAAGACTCCAGAGGGGAACGACGCAGGGCCGCGCTCTGTGGCAGCTGGCACATACTCACTCAGGTAAGCCATGGAGGGGATCACTGAAAAAAGAAGCCAAAGGGCAGGTGTGAGCGAGGTCTAGGGGGTTCCCTCCCACGAACCCCAGGCCTTCTGCCTGTCTTGGGACTGCTGCCCCCAGTGGGGCCCCAATGCTGACAGAGGTGGGAATGTGACCCCCTAAGTTTAAGCCTCAGAAATGGGGTGCCCCCAGGGAATCCCTACTAGGGCTGGTGGTACTAGGGGCATAATGTTAACGCAGGGGGATGGCACTTCCAAGTGGCTAAAATGCAAGCCATTAGGTCATCAGTGTCTCTGTCATGAGCAATTCTGTCTGCCACCCCTGAACTACAGTCCCGAGGCTGGAGTAGAATGAGGCTCACAGGCGACAGTTGTCCTCAGTAGCAAAACATGCACCGACATGCACCCACACACACACGTGCACCAGTGACTACATCTCACAGGGCTGTTCAGAGGGCAGAGCCGTGACCCAGTTGAAATATACTGCTTGGTTAGGACAGCCCGTTTGGATAGAGACAAGGCAGGCCGGTAGGGGCTGGGGAGGTCCTGCCTGATGGTGTGGGGACGAGGTTCCAGTTCCATAATGAGACAAGCGCAGCGTGCTCTGAACTCCAGAGCAGCCGCCAGAACGAGGCCGCCTGGGCCAAAGTCCTGGCTGGGCCCCCTGCTGAACGAGTCCTTGAGCAAAGGAACTTAACTTCCCCGTGCCTCAGTTTCCTCGCTGTAAAATGGGAACCGTAAGAAGCCTTCCTCAAAGCCTTGCTGTGGGGTTACTGAGTAACTAACTGAGTTACTCATTTTTGCAGGTCACAGAATACTTTCATCCCAATTGTCCCTCCTTGGGCAGGGGAAGCCCCCCTTTGTCAGCTGATGAGAACCCTGAGGCTCAGAGTGAACAGGGCCCTGCCCCGGCCCCCGGTGAGTTGGCAGTAAAGCTGGGAGCTGAGCTCAGGTGTCCTGGCAGCCCCCTCCTGGGTGGTGGAGGAAAGGTCTCTTTGGTCCTCTCTTGACCTCCTCCTGGGAAAGTCATCAGCCGCTGGCTGAAGCTCACCTTCTGTATCCAGAGGCCCTGCAAGGGAGGAAGAGGAGACCACGGAGTTAGAGGCCACAGAACCCCCGTGTCAGGGCCCTTGTGACTGCTCACTGCCTGGCCGGCCAGCCATGCCTGGGCCATGTGTGCCCCCACAGGAACCAGGAGCTCCTGGAGGCAGAGGCCGGGCCCAGACTGGCTCTTTACCTCCCATATCTCCCAGTGCCAATTGCAAGGGCCCTCAGGGCACTGTGCTCGTGGGGTCTGGTTGACCAGGCCTGGTCCCAGCCTCCAGCTCTCATGGCCTCTTCCTCTCACAATCCCCAGGTGCTGGCTCCAGGCCGGACTTTTAGGTCGGAAGTGCTTCGTCTTATCTAACTGAACCCTTCCATGCTGCAGCCTCAGTCCCTTTCCCAGAAATGACCCTGGACACCCTGCCCCCTTTAGAGACTTCAAGGCTCTTCCTATTCATGCCTACATTCCACTGTTCACACTAATGGCTTTCTTTCCTCTATAACACCCTCCCGGGTCCTTGGCCAGTTTTCCTCTGATACCTCCTAGACCTGCCTTTCTCAGCAGGCCCGCTTCTCTCCAGGGCACCCAGGGTCAGGGGCCTGGAAGGAGGCATCCAAGTTGTGGCCCCCCACCGTCTGTGCCTACCTTCCCCGGGCTTGTTGGCGATGGCTGTCTGGTTCTCGTTGTCCTCAGGCTTGGTCACCACCATGGAGGTCAGCGGAGTCACAAAGTGATACTTGAGGGACAGCTCCAAGGCCTGGGCTGTGAGGTTCTCCTTCTCCTCACCCTGGGCATTCTTGCTGTGGGCACAGGCAGGGAAGGAGGGTCAGCCCAAGACCCCCTCAACCTCTCCCAGTGGGTCCCTAGCAGTCAGAGAAAACGGTTTCATCAGCTCCCTGGGACAGACGGACATGCCCTGATTCCTCTCTGGGCCTGTTTCTCCAGGCGAAAGTTACAAGGGGCTCGACATGGCCACAGCCATGGTGTTCATGGTCATCATGGTGTTCACGTGCTGAGTGCCAGCGTCTTTCCCAGCCAGTCCTGCCCAACAGAAGGCTGACACAGCCCCCTCACATGGCCAAGCTCTGCCCCCTGGGGCTGAGGGCTGGGGTCTCAGCCTTCGGTCATGTTCCTCCTCAGCATCTCCGTAGGACCATGCTGGGTATAGCGGACAGGATGCCGAGGCTTATCCCTGCCCTCAAGATGTTCCCAGGCCCCTGCCTGAGCCCTGCCTCACAGACCCTCTCTGTTCCAGGAAAAACACGCCATGGGGGCCTAGCCAAAAGGAGAACTGGGCAGCTGCAGTGGGCGTGGAGGTGCACTTCCCAAGGTGAAAGTTCCCTCCTCTTCGGCTCTCCGGAGCATAGCCAGCACGGGGTGGGGGGAGGGGGTGGGGGGCACTGGTAGGTGCTGGAGCAGAGCTGGGGCTCAAGGCAGGGCCTCGCTGTGTGAGGGGTGGGCCAGGGTCACCGTTTGTCCAGCAGCTGCTCGATGGTGAGGTAGGCCCAGAGCCGTTCAATGTAGTCCCCAAAAATGTATTCCCGCTCCTGCAGGGCCTTCTCCATCTCCTTCATGTCCACCTCCTCAGTGAAGGTCAGGTCGTTGATGGCCTGGGACGGGGGTACAAGGAGGCCTGGAGCCAGGTGGGCCTGGTTCAGAGGCTGCTTCTGCTGGGCCGTCAGCCAGGAGGCTGGAGCCCCCACTGGTAGGTCCCCCACCCCCAGCGCACAAGAAGGTCCCCAGCTCAGCTTACCCCGTGGCCTCTCACATCTGCCTTAAAGCTGTTCATGTCCTCGTCCGCCAGGCGCCCGGCTACCACAATCTCAGAGCCATCGTAGAAATGCTGGTAACTGTTCTGGGTGAGGTCCAGGATGGCATTCTGAGGGTACTCTACCTCCACGCCTGTCAGCAGTGGGTTGGCCACCTCCTCATAGAAGCCCTAGAGTTCAGATGGGGGCCCTGATCATCTCTGGCCACCAAGGCGGGCAGGGAGAGGACAGGGTGGGCCGGTTCCCGCTGGTGCCTCTGCAGGTGGTTGGATCTCTCAAGCTGGGCCAGTCCAGCTCCTGACCTCCACCTGGCCCTGACTGTGTCCTTCAGTTTGGGGGACCTCCTCCTCAACGCCTCCCCATCCCAATTAGAGACTGGGAAGAATAGAAAAGGAAAGGACAGAGTTCTTGGCACAGAGGATTCGAGAAATGTTTGTTTGTTGGAATGAAAGTAAAAAGGAGAAGAGAAAGGTTGGAGGCTGACTAAAAAAGTTGATGTGGAGTGAGAGCATGGAGACCCGGAGACTAACAGGAGGAAGGTTGGGGGTTCCACTGCAGAGGTGGAGAAGCACCTGCCTATACTGGGGAGGAGAGGGTTAGTTGATTTAGCAAATGAAAATATAAGTCATGAGTTACATTTGAATAACAAAATGACAGGTTACTTTTTAGTATAGGGGTACAGCTGTCATGGGGCACATTTTGAAACCCCAAAATACACAGGTGAAAATCCTTACTCCCGTACTTCAGGACATGACCTTAAATTTGGAGAAAAGCTCTTTACAGAGATCAAGTTAAAATGAATTGTTTAGGATGGACTCCAATTTGATATGACTGGTGTCCTTGAAAGAGGGAACTTTGGATCCAGAGGCAGACATGCCCACAGAGAAAATGATATGAAGATATACACGGAGAAAATGGCCATCGACAGGCCAAGGAGAGAGGCCTAGAGTAGAGCCTTCCCTCCCAGCTCTCAAAAGGAACCAACCCTGCCAGCACCTTGATCTTGGACTTCCAGCCTCTAGACATGTGGGACAATAAATGTCTGCTGTGGGAGCCAGGTGGGGCTTCCCTGGTGGCTCAGATGGTAAAGAATCCGCCTGAAATACAGGAGATCCAACTTCGATCCCTGGGTCAGGAAGATCCCCTGGAGAAGGGAATGGCAACCCACTCCAGTATTCTTGCCTGGAGAATTCCATGGACAGAGAACCCTGACAGGCTATAACCCACGGGGTCACAAGGGTCGAGTCGGACATGACTGAGCAACAAACACTAACAGTGGCCTGTGGAAGCCGCCCAGGTGTGGTTATTTGTTAAGGCAGCACTAGCAAACTAAATGTAGTTTAGGGGCTTCTTAGATGGCACTAGTGGTAAAGAACCCTCCTGCCAATGCAGGAGACATAAGAGACATGGGTTTAATCCCTGGGTCAGGAAGATCCCCTGGAGTAGGGTGTGGCAACCCCCTCCAGTATTCCTTCCTGGAGAATCCCATGGACAGAGGAGCCTGGTGGACTGGAGTCCATAGCGTCACACAAAGTTAGACATGACTGAAGCGACTTAGAACAGCACAGCAAACTAAGTACAGTGTCCTGTTCAGTGTTTGGAGCATGCTTGCTAAAAAGTTATTCGCTGTTCATGAGAAGTTCCTATTTAATTGGAGGTCTTGTATCTGATATGGCAGTCCTACAGAAGAAGCAGGTCTATTCTGTGCAGCCTGTGGACAAAATCAGAACCTGGACTGATGGGTAAGAGGTGACCAGAGATAGATTTCAACCCGAGAGGAAGTTCTTTCTAATAACTTGAATTGTCACACAGTGGAACAGCTTCTTGAGGAAGTAGGGAGCTCCCCATTCCCAGAGGTATGTGAGGCAAGGCACACCTGCAACTGCAAGTTGGCATCGGAATCCTCATAAATGCGCCGGGCAATCCCATGGTTCTCCAGGGCCATATTTTCCAGGAAGTTATAATTCAGATTGTTGCCAAAGCCCAGGTTATACAAGGGGAACTTGCCACCAATGGCATTCCGCACATTCTCTTGGATTTTTTCAGGTCTGCTTTCACCTGTGGGATGAGGAGGTATTTACGCTGCAGCCATAGCCCCAGCGACTGTCTGGACCAGCTCTGTCTGCAGAGATCTGACCCCTGCCTGTGCAGAGCTGGCAGAGTCACGGCTGCTACAAGCCCTCCGTGAGCAGGCACTGGGGCGGGCAGAGCCCTTCAGAGACTCACAGATCACAGGGGACCCTGGGGAGAGCTGCCCAAGGTCATGCAGCACGCTGGCTATAGAGCCAGGAGCGGCAGCAAGAGCCACACATGCCGCCTCACCCACATTGGCGTCCCCGTCGGTCAGCATGATGATGATGGAGGTGCTCCTCTCTGGGACTCTATGCTCCTCCCGGGCCCTGTTCAGCATACTGATGCCCCTCAGCAGCGCGTCGTTGATGTTGGTCACTGGCACACAGACAGATGACACCGTGAGAGCATATCCTCAGGGTGCTGGGGGAGGCAGTCGAGACAACAGTCCCTGCTCACACGCCCAAAGACGCTGCCTGCCTGTGCGCAGTGGTACTCAGTAAATATTGACTGGATGACTCAGTGAGTGATGAATGGATGACTTAATCTTTCAAATGAGTAAGGACCAGCCTCTCAGGGCTGCTGGAAGGATAGATGCACATGGTGACTGTAAGAACACATTGTGATTGGAGAACAGTCAAATGGACCACCAGCCCCTCTCGCAGGGAGGAGTGGGGAGCAGTATAGACATCACTTGTCATTTTTCATATGAAACTGCCGCACATAAGAATTCTCTGTGGCATTACCTTATTGGGTAATGCTGGCATTACCTTGTGGGGATCACAGGTTAGAAAGAAGTGGGTTTCCCTAGATCACAGAGAAGACACCGCAATGTCAAGCCTGAGGACTCTCCATCCCACCTCTACCTGCAGCTTGGATCTGCAGGGCCCAGACCAGCAGAGTCTCTGCCACCAAGGCAGAAGGGAAACAGGCTGCTCAGGCAGAGAGGAATGGCAGGATGTAGCTCCCTCCCCTCTGTTCTTACTTCCTCGATCATGAATATCCATCACAAATTTCCTGGCTTCCTGGATGTTCTCAGGAGTGGCTTGAACTAAACTGTCTTTCCAAGTGGTCACATCTCCACTGAACAGGATAAAATTCAAGTAGTCATCCTCTTTGACATCCTCCAGAATTTTGAGGAGGGCATCCTTTGTCTGGGAAGGAGGAAGACAAGCAGATAAGATGTGTTCCCGGCCTGGGCCCCTGCTGTCTGCAGGAAAAGAGGCAGATGCTTTGTGTCTTTTAAAAATCCTGCCCTCCTTCCTTCTCTTTCACTGGAATATTAGCTTCATCCACTTTTAAAGAAATCTCCCCGTGTCTCCCATCTGTCACCCACTCTTGCACCAAGGAGAGTACCTGCTCCATTTTCCGACCGTGCATGGAACCGCTGACGTCAATCACGAAGACCACGCTCTTGGGCACCACCGGAAGGCCTTGAGGTGCAAAGAAGTGCACAAAGTAGCCATTGACGATCTGAAAACGGGAGAGAGAGACTGGAGACCAGTGGCCCTTCAGCAACCTCACATTGGCTACCCTTGCAAATAAAACCCAGACTTTTAGCAGCCCCAAATAAAGATGTCCTTTCTCCGCCTCCAGGGGGCACCACACCTAGGCTCTGGTCTGCCTGTGGCCCCATGCCTTGCAGGAACCTCATGCTTGGGCTGAAGATCAAGGTTGTTTTACCGGACGAAGCTGCAACACCTCCACACATCAGCGCTCACCAGAGCAAGTCAGGGGATGGATCAGCCTGGCAAAGCCAGTTGGCAGGTACCTACTTGCACATTGGCGGGAGACTCTCTGTTCACATCATAGGTGATGATGAAATCTCCTTTGAGGAGGGAGTCCGTGCAGGTTGGGCAGGAACGCTGTTGGTCCAAGCTGGGTTTGAAGGACACATGGCCCTGAGGGAGGGTGATGGAGGGCCTCTCTCAGCTTGGGCAGGGCCTGCCCTCTGCAGACCTCAGCCTGGGGCTGCCCTGGGCACTCAGCAAAGTGCCTGAGTCCTGCCACCCTCTGGGGTGCTCTGGCCTTCCTGAGCACCTCTCTCCCCCTCGGAGATCAGGAGCCCCTTGGAGGGTAGAGGCCTTATCTGAGCCAGGCTTTCACTCTCCTGGTTCACTGGGCCTCACAAGTCCCTTAGCTCTGCCTGCACTTGGAAGCCACATAGGGAGGAGAATTCTGCACCATGAAAAGGAACTTCACGTTGGGTGACACTGTGTGCTTTTTGTCAAGAGGAGCAAGGATGGGGCAGAGTAGAGAGTGAGGAGGGGGCCCTGGGCGGGGACACGGCCTGCAGAGGTCAGCAGCCCTCTGAGTGTGTGCTCCTCCAGCCTCACCCTAGGAGTCCTGACTGAGGTTTGCTGTCCTTGTAAACATGTATTCATCCACTACCCATGATCAGCAAGATTCCTGGAATTGCTGGGGACCTTGGGGTCCAGAGCCAACCCCGAGCACCAAGAACGAATTTCCCTTTCTTCTTCACCACTCAAGTGGAGTCAGATCTGAAAAACTCCCTCAGGTCTCTGTCTCCCTCTCTGTAAAACAGGGACCAGTAGCCTGCCCTGCCTACTTTCCCAAAGTGAAATGGGATCAGGCTTTATAAATGGTTTCCCTGTCCCCTCCCCAGTGCAGTTGAGACCCCAGTTCCTCTGGCAGGTCATCACCAGCAAGCAGCCCCCTGCCTCCAGCATCCTCACTGCTGACCCAGGTGGCCTAGGAGAAAGGGGATGTTGCAGACTTCTGCCTCTCCCTGACCACCGCCTCATACCTACACACACACACACACACTCTCACTCTCTCCCTCTCTACCTTGCATCTGCCAAACCCCCAGTTTCAGACTCACCTTGCTAGACTCAATGTTCCTGCCCCTGCTCCCTCCCCCCAGGCCCCAGAGGCATCTATACCACCTTTTTCCCTGAGAAGGACTTGGTGAGGGCGCTGCCCAAGAGGTCATTGGTGATGAAAACGGGGGAGCCTGGTGGGCTGCCATCTATGGGGTCGCACAGAGTCGGACACGACTGAAGTGACTTAGCAGCAGCAGCATTCTGATCCCAAAGTTCTTCCACTCCCTGCCATATGGTGCCCCAGAGTCTACCACTAAAAGCATTTCCTTTGGCTTTGCACTCTGATGTAGGTAAAAATGCCCAAGTAACCAGTTACCAGCATTACAGAGACACTTGGTGATGTTGCCCCCAAGGACCCAGCACCCAACCTGGATGGCCCAGACGCAGCCTGGCCTCCTCCCTTGGGCCCAGGTGCTGTGGGCAGCACCACTGTAGTTCCCCCACGCCTCCTTGGCCGGGTGCTAGGGCCTGGGCTCCTACACTCCTGCTGTGGGCTCTGCCCAGGGCCCTTCCTGGCACCCCAGACCCTCAGGCGCTGCGAGCGAGTGGCCGATTACCTCAAAGTGCTTGACCAGTTGCTTGGGCTGGACCTTGAGGTACATCTCGTACTTGCCCTTATGCCTCTTGAGCAGCTCCTCATAGGTTAGCTCAAAAGTGACCTTGCTGCCTGCAGCCACATTGACTGAGACCGTGAATTTCTCCAGCTTCCTCCCAGAGGCCCTGAATGGGGATGAGAAACAGTGACTGCCCCAGAAAGAGCACAGCCCCCTGTTTCCTGGGCCTTTGGTTTCCAGTCCCTTCCTCCTGGGGGAGCCCCCTACCCATGCTGAGCCTCAGTTGCCTCAACTTCAAAGTAAGATAATGTTGTAAGAATTATAGCACATTTTGCCATGTAATAATTATAGCTGCTGTTCTCTTGTTAGTGTCTCTGAGGGCCCTCACAGCCCTGACATTCTCGCCAATGCCTGAGGGTCCACACTTACTTGACCAGGCCGGCTGTCTTGCCCTGGGACACAGCCTTCTCATACTGCTTCTTGGCAACTTCCTTCTCCTTGATGTTTCCAGGGTAGGTAACGCCATCGATGGTCCTGCAGAGATAGAGAGTTGGGGAAAGGGGGGCTCAGGCTGAGCCAGACTCCCCTCCCCGCCCAGAGCCAGAAGCTGTGGTGACACTCACAAGGTGAAGTTGGTGATGAAGGCAGTCTTGGGCAGCTCCACGTCGAAGGACACCTCCTTGGCAGTGTTTGCGTGGTTGACGGCCCTGGTGGTGACGACATTGTGAGCGAAGCGGGAGGTCACCTTGCAGTTGACTTTGGTGCTGTAGACTTTGATGCCATCGACCGCCTGCAGGAGAGGGACAGTGTATCAGCGGACGGTGACCAGCCAACCTGAGGCCCCTGGAAACCAGGACCTCCTCCTGGCTGCTCCCCTTCAAGCTCCCCTTTGTGGGCTTCAAAGCTCCTGCCTGGTAAGTGGCCTGTCCAGTCTCCCAGTCGCACACATCAGAAGCCTGGGCAGTTATCTTTGGTCGCTACCTGTAATTGGCCACCACTGTTGTGATGGCCACTCTGCCTTCTTAGCTCTATAATCTGGTTTACATGCAGCTATAGCCAGTGAGATGGTGTAAAAACTCAAATCTGACCTGTCCTTCTCCTGTTTAAAGCCCTTCTATTCTCCCTACCACCCCCAGGACAGCCTTCCCCATGGCTCTGGGGGCCTCTGGGCAGGTCCTGCCTCCTCTGCTCAGTCCGTGCCCCTGCCATGCTGGCTCCTAGCTCTTCCCGCTCATCTTCCAGAGCTCAGCTTAGAAAGAGCATGTCCACACACACTCCAGTCTGCTCCCTGTGTCCAGTAGCTGCCCAGTTCTGTTTCCCAAACAGGCCCTTATTTCCTGCACCTAAGGCGATGCATTGGGAGGGCCTTCGTGCCCCCCAGCACCCTCTTTCCAATGGGACAATGAGCCAAGGGATGTTCTAGAGAAACATCTGGATTGAACATGGATATAAAGATGCTTCGTGAAGGCATCACAGGGCCATTCACTGTGTGTCTCCTGCCCCATGCATGGGGTCTGACAAATGCTCAGTAAGTGTTTCTGGGAAGAAGGACCCATGGAGGGGTGGTCCTCTATTGCATCAGCGAGTCCGAGGGGCATGGTTCCCTGAAGCTCTCTCCCAGGGCTCTGGAGGCAGCGGGGGTCTGCCAGGGCAGGGGGCCATGAGGGGGTTTGCCAGCTGGAGGGACCTTCCCTTGTGGCCCACTTCTTCTGCTGTTGGGCAACCAACTCTGCCCTGCCCCATCTCTTGTGAAAGTTCTCACCCCTTCCGGGAGGCTCCGTTTCTGGAAAAAACAAAGACAAACACAGGGACTGGGCCAAGGTCAAGGCTACTGTGGCCTGAGTAGAGGCTCTGGGCCGAGGCCAAGGTTCAGCAGTGACCACCTCCCCCAACACATACACACACCTTGAGGGGCCTCCGGACAGAGGACCCAACCAGAGCCACATGTCAGAGTAGGAAGGGCTCTGAGTAAATGGGGAAACTGAGGGCCAGGGGGGAGGTCTAGGGTAGCATGTCAGGGAGGACCAAAGTCAGTGCTCTCCCCCTGCACCATATACCCCGACTCACTCTGCCCCTCCCTAGGCCCCAGGCCCCCCAAGACTCCTCCAGACCCCACCACCACTGTACCCCATGCAGCTCAGCCTGGCCATTCCTAGAGGCCTCTCCCCTTGTCTATATATGAACCTCAGAGCCCCTCAGGGAGGTGATCTGATCGTGGTGCATCACCCACCTGACAGGTCAGCAAACAGAGGCCCTGGAGATTTAAGCTCCCCTGGGGAAGCTGTCTCATCAGGTTTGACAGCAGGTCTGGGGCCCGGGTCCCCCCATGCCCTGCCATGTTCCTTGCAGCTCACTGCCCAGCCTCTGCCTCCTCCTCATTCTACAGAGGACCACCCAGCGTGGCCCCCCTGCCTGCCTGTTGGTGAAGAAGGGGCAGACTTACCCCAAGCAGCCGGGATGGGTTTCTAGGGAAGCCAGAGACTGCCAAGCCGGAGAGCAGGGTCAAGGTGAGGCAGGGCCACTGAATCAACGCCATTGCTGAGCATGCTGGCCTGGCCCGGGCTCCTTATATGAGCAAGCCTGATGTTTTCCCAAATGGGGTCATCGACCTGCATCGGGGCGGGAGGAGCAGGAGGTGGGAGGTTCCCCCGGGAAGCTGGGCATGGGTGGAGTGATGGGCCTGGATCTATTTGTACCAAGGTAGCCCGGTGGGTATCATCCACAGTGTTAGACTTCACACCCAGCGGCCGCAGGACATGGAGGCCCCTGGGGAAGCCAGAAGCATTGCACTGACAAACGGGCCCAGAGACCCCCTGGGAGGGGGCGATGATGATGGAATATGGACTCACATTTAAAGCAAAAGGCATCTCAGCATCGTCGCCACATCACAGGCACGGCCTCTGGTCTGGCCTCTGGATCAGTTATCTCCCCTCTCTTCTCCAGGCAGCCAGGGCCCAAAACCAGACTTAACACCCTGAGACTAGGATCTCCATGGTTGACTCCTTCCTCATTATCCTCTGGTTTCCATGGCCCCTTGGGAAAGACAATCCCCGAGTCCTGTGATCCAGCTCCAAGTTGCTTTCTGAAGGTAACTCTTCTCACCTTCCGCTTCTCTGTACCTCACATGTCTTCTCTCTGCCAGCCCATGTCCCTCCAAATTTCTTCTTCCTCTTTTGTCCCCTAGCTGAGCACAGACAGCCCTGCTCCAGGCTCCAAGCTCCCAAAGGGCCTACATTCTACTGCTAACGTTTGGTTGAGTTTCGCACGTTTGGATCTGATCACTGACTCTAGACTCTGAGCACCTGGAGAACCAGGCCGTGTGTTGTGTTCCTCCCTGTGTTCTCAGTCTGACCAGGAACTCAGCTGCCCTCGGCCCGTTGGAGGATCATTCTCCCAGAAGTCCCCAGCGAGGCTGGAGTTCTGGTCTCCAGGACCATGGCAGCCTCAGAGGCAGGGTCTTATTGCCTCCCAGTGGGGGCTGGGTCCTTCTGGGCCATCCCAGAGCCCTGCCAGCCCCTAGACCTTCCAGAGTGGCCATCCTGTGCCGGCCATACTTTTCTGAACAAAATGACCTGGTGACCCTCCAACTTGGCCACTACTGAACGGAGTTAATGAGGATGCCTAGGCACAGGATAGCTCTTGTATGGATCAGACTATGGTCTTGACTGAAAGCCAAGACTTCACTTGACTGTAATATGTACAGAGAGAGTTGACTGCCAGGGGCAGAGAAATGGAGTGAGAAAACAGAAGCTAGGAAGCAGCAGAAGCCACATGGAAAGAGGGGACTAGTGACTGGAAGTGGCAGCAGCCACAGAAGCAATGTCAGAAAATTGCCAACTTAGCAAAATGATGGTAGATCAACAGAGGGAACCGCTGATGCCCGGCTGGGGGTCCCTGCTCTCCTCCGGCCTCTTGAATTCTTATAGTGACCCCTACTACCAGCAGGCACCCAGCTCTGGGCTGACACCTGGGAGCAGAGAGAAGAAGGGTCCTTCCACATGGTTCATGCGATCACCTTCAGTGTCTGCAGTTACTGACAGCTAGGCCCTGTGGCTGTGGCAGAATTGTTGTCCTGCCAGCATTGCTCAGCAGCCCCGCCTCATGCCTGTCTCNCCTTCCACATGGTTCATGCGATCACCTTCAGTGTCTGCAGTTACTGACAGCTAGGCCCTGTGGCTGTGGCAGAATTGTTGTCCTGCCAGCATTGCTCAGCAGCCCCGCCTCATGCCTGTCTCATACCTCGTCCCTCAATACTTAGAGCTTTGTGGGGGGAACAACTCATAATAGGAAATTCTGAGGTTGCTCAAGAGGCCTTTGAGGGACATCTGGGGACTTGAGGAGCCCAGAGTCATCAGACAGAATTTGGAATTAAATGGAATCTAAGACATCTTCAGGTTCACCCTATTTCTGCTTTACAGGATGGGGAAAAGAGGCCCTAGTTAGGCAGGGCTTTGCTCAGGGTGACCAGCCAGCTGGCAGGCCATGGCCCTCCCTCAAGAAGCCCCGAATACTCCAGACAGTGGGCTAGGGCTCTGGACCTCACAGGCTGTCCCTCACGTCTCTTTGTCCCTGGGCCTGGGGCAGCCCTGGGCCTCTGTGCTATCAATCTGAGCCCTCATTTGGGGCAGGAACCAGACAGAATCCAGAAAAGCAAAAATGCTCTAGAAAGGAGGGAATAGAGGCCCATCACACTTCGCCAGAAGGGCCAGTGTCTCCCCAAAGTACAAGTTCATCTCCCCACACCCTGTAACATCACATTTCAACTGGGCCCCCAGACAAAGCCAGGGAAGACATTCTGAAGGGGTCATTCCAGGCCCCATTGTGAGGAGTCAGTGGGCTGCTATTCATGAAGTCAGAGCTTCTGGGCAGTGGCTGTCTCTGCTTTGGGGAGATTTGCCTTCTCCCAGAAGTGTCAACCCCCACCTGGGAAATCCAGTGGAGGGTGGTGGAGGCCTGGGAACTGCTTCCTGAGGCCCTGACTGCACTGAATGAGCCTCTAGCTCCTGGCAGGACTTCTTCAGGACTCCAAGTCCATATATTATATTTCTTTTTTTTTTCCACATGCTCATGTTAAATAATACTTAGAAAGATCTAGATCTGGAGTGGCGGCTGCGTGGTGCTGGAGCAACTTTGAGGAGATACCCCACTTCCAAGGGCAAAGGAGACGTCTCAGCAAGATGGTAGGAGGGGTGAAATCATGAAATTGCATTTAGAATCAGACCCCATACCCACCAGAGATGCTCAGAGGGTTCAAACAAACCTTGGGCACACCAGGACAGAGAGACCCGACAGAGACTAAGACAGAATTGTGTTTGAGTGTCTCCTGTGGGGTACAGGTCAGCAGTGGACTGCTGCAGGGGCAGGGGCTCTGGGTGCAGTAGACCTGGGTCTGGCATAAGCCCTCTTGGAGTAGGTTACCATTAACCCCACCAGAGAGCCACCAGAGCTTACACAGGACTGGGGCAACAGAGTCTTGGAGGGCACAAACAAAACCTTGTGCACACCAGGACCCAGGAGAAAGGAGCAGTGACCACACAAGAGACTGACCCAGACTTGCCCATTAGTGTCCAGGAGTCTCTGGTGGAGGCGTGGGTTGGTGGTGGCCTGCTGTGGAGTTGGGGGCACTGAATGCAGCAGTGTGTGCATGGGACCTTTTGAAGGAGGTCACCATTATCTTCATTACCTCCACCATAGTTTGGCCTCAGATAAAATAACAAAGAGGGAACACAGCCTGGCCCATCAACAGAAAATTGGATTTAAGATTTACCGAGCATGGCCCTGCCCATCAGAACAAGACCTAGTTTCCCCCTCAGTCAGTCTCTCCCATCAGGAAGCTTCCATAAGCCTCTTATCCTTCTCCAACAGAGGACAGACAGAATGAAAACCACAATCACAGAAAACTAACCAATCTGATCACATGGTCCACAGCCTTGTCTAACTCAATGAAACTATGAGCCATGTTGTGTAGGGCCACCCAAGACAGACAGATCATGGTGGAAAGCTCTGACAAAATATGGTCCATGGAGAAGGTAATGGCAAACCACTTCAGTATTCTTGTCTTGAGAACCCCATGGACAGTACGAAAAGGCAAAAAGATAAGACACTGGAAGATGAACTCCCCAGGTTGGTAGGTGCCCAATATGCTACTGGAGATCAGTGGAGAAATAACTCCAGAAAGAATGAAGAGACAGATCCAAAACAAAAACAACACCCAGTTGTGGATGTGACTGGTGATGGAAGTAAATTCTGATGCTGTAAAGAACAATATTGCATAGGAACCTGCAATATTGTTAGATCCACGAATCAAGGCAAATTGGAAGTGGTCAAACAGGAGATGGCAAGAGTGAACATTGACATTTTAGGAATCAGCGAACTAAAATGGACTGGAATGGGTGAATTTAACTCAGATGACCATTATATCTACTACTGTGGGCAAGAATCCCTTAGAAGAAATGGAGTAGCCATCATAGTCAAC